CTCCCCAGGGTCCCCGCTTCCCGCAGCCAATCCGGATCCGCGGGCACTGGGCGCTGAGGCCACGGGAGTCCCGGATGCCGGAGGGGCGCGGGGAGGCAGCCCCGGAGGCCGGAGGGGCGCGGGGAGGCAGGTGCCCGCGGGACGGCCGTCCTCTGCCAGCCTCCTCCTGAGGGCGAGGGGAGAAGCCGAAAGGAGCCGGCTCAGCTTGTCCCTGCCTGGAGGGTCCCCGCCGCGGCCCGGCTCCCACTGCTGGGGGCCGCCATCGATCAACCTGCTCCTGAAACGCGGGGCCGCAAAGGGCGCGGAGGGGCCTTGAGTCCCGGAAGCCTGAGACCCGCTGGGGTGGAGGGAGGAATGGGACATGGGGCGGCCAACCCTCCCGGATTGCCCTAGCGTCTCCAGGAATTAGACAGACCTCCAGGAGACTGCTGAGAGTCACGCGGGGGATAAATGATAGGACATTCATCTAAATAAATACTAAATGTTGACTCTGATTTAAACAGTAGCCCTGTGGGTTTTTAAAAGGTAATAGTCATGTGCATTTGCCTTCCTGATGTAAAGTCTATGCACTGTAATCTAACTGATATACAGGAGTACGTGGACACACTTGTATTGTGTTGCAGGCATGTTGGCGTTCAGGAGACCTGGCATGAACACCGCGTGTCCGCAATGGCTGGAGGAGCACGGCGAGGTCCGGCAGGTGGTGCTGGCGCTGTCGGCAGTGGGAGCATGGCGGTGGTAAGTGTGGAGCTGCCATAGGCAGCCGTGGCGCTGTCGGTGGTGACGGGGAGGAGGTGGCAAGCGCCGACCAGTGGTGCAGGTGGACCGCTTGCAGACGCTGCCAGGGGTGTTGGTGGCATGGGTGGCAAGCAGCGACTGCCCACGGGCGCCGCTGGCAGTGTCACCAGTGCCTTTTCATAGGGGGTGCACGTGCACCCACATGCAACCCTTACGCGTCGCCAGTGCCTCCCAGAATAGTTTCAAACAAAGTTGACAACCCTCATGGGACAGCAGGAAGAGGAAGAGGAACTAGAAATGGAGGCAAAGGTTGAAAAAGTGTGTTGGGAGAGGAGTGAGGAGCTGCTCTGCCATATCTCAGGCTATAATGTTGATGGCAGTGACTTAATCAGGTTTTTAGTACAGGGGAAGTACAGGGCAGGAGAAGGAATGCGTTGACCCTCAGGTGTTTGAGAACCACTGCTTCCCAGATAGCAGATAGTCTAAATGAAGTGGGCTGTACTGTACATGCCTGTCCTGCAGTGAGGGAAGTTTACTAACAGCCAGGAAATGTCCTTGCTCACCTTCTACTTGCTGTTACAGAGACTCACGATTACAGAATTTAGGGAGCTATTTTGGGGTATCCTATTATTATCATTATTATTACTTTTTTAAAAACTTAGGAATCGCAAAATAGATGTCTCAAAGTACAGACCACTTCTGGTAGCAGCACTGATTGGGTGGTTCCTATCAGTTTCCTCTTCTCTTTGGGCTGTCCCCATGGTAATGACAAATAAAATGCAGCCACTGTTTTGAAATTACCTTGCTGACTTTAATTTGATCTTTTTTAAAGTGGTAAAAAGTTGAGGGCCATTTTAAGGCTTGTGAATTCTTCCTGTACTGTACTGCTTGGTCCTTGTAATCCTTATAATCTGGTTTTATAATTGCAATCCTAATGGCACACATTCACATCAACTAGCACTACTGTTGACTAAAGGAAATAAGGGTGTAGGAGTGAGAAGCTGTGAAGGGAAGTATCTACAGGAGGGTCACAAAATGTTATTTAAAAAATATCTACTGGCATGGGTGACTGATGCCACCTTAGTCACGTCCCCCCCCAGAGACCAGTGAGCGATTGTGGGGGAGGCCCCCGCAACCAATCTCAGCCACTTCCAGAAGAGCCACAGTGCTCCCACTCCCCAACTGGTGCTTGCAGGGAGGGCACCAGCACTCCCGCCTGCTCTCCCGCCCGTTGCCTAAACGGCGAGCGTGGCCTGTCGGGGGGGCACCTGCACCCCCATGCACCCCCTGCGCATCGCCACTGTCTACTGGTTTTCATACACTGCTGCAAAAGATGCTTTAAAATAAAAGGCAAGATGTTTGAAAGCATTCAACACTAGCCTAACTGCTTTTAATGAAGTCAGCTTGACTTCAATAGGAGCAGAATGGGAGATGTTAATGAAGTTACGCACTGTTGTGAAATTTGTTCTACAACTGTTACAGCTTCTCACTTCGACTTGCAGAGTATGTAAATGGACATTCAGTAAATCCCATTTTAGTGCAGATTACACTTTTCTACCACATGGAACCCATTTGTGGGTGAGGACCCACACCCAGCCATAAATTTACAACCTTTTTCTAAAGATTTCATCCAAGCCCCAGACCCACACAAAGTTCAGCAACTGCCTCTTCCCACCCTCAATGCCCAGAAAAGCACCACACAAACAACCATACACACAGGGTACAGCTACATGAGACAATGTGCAGAAGATTAATTTACTGCATGTTACTGCATTAGCATGGGCTTAGTATAATGCTCAGTAGTGTCACAAAAAAAAAAAAATCTGTGCTAATGTGCAGTAGCACCGAATACATTGCATTAAGTTTAGTCATTACATGTACTAAACTTCATGTGCCATATATATAGCACATTAATGAACGTGTAGATGTGCCCACACACACCAAATGAAAAATTAATAAAGAAAAATAATTAGAGCTGCACTGATACATCTGTGGCATATCGGATCAGCACCTATAAAAGGAAAACTAACATTATTGGCAATCGGGTTTTTTTGGCTAACATCACCCGTTTATTTATGTCACCAATAAATGCTGTGTGCATGCACACAGCTGTCATGCAAGTAGCCAGAAATGCAGCCAGGCAGCATGGAGAGCAGTGTCCAGATGGTAAGTCTGTGGGGGAAATGTGCGTGGTGACGGCAGATCGAGGCCCCCACAGTGAGGGAGGGAGTGCGGCATAGGCAGGCATTGCCCAGCTAGGGTGGTGGATATGACCCTGGGAGTGGGATGAAGCCATGGGCAGCTCATCCAGGGGGCATGGGGGAGTTGGGAGGGCAGGTGGCTCCCTGCCTCTGTGCACACCCCTGGGAGAGACATGGAGGGCATGTGCCCCCCTGGATTTGTGCTCAAGGGGGTGGCTGCCCCCTGCAGGGTTGGGGCTAGAGGCGCTGGCTTCTTCCTGGTGTGCTGAGCCGGGGCTGGGCTTTGAGTGGGTGGGAGCAGGGCAGGCAGCGGCAGCACTGGGAGGGGTGGGGGTGGGCTATAGCCACCCCAAAATTTCCCATAGCCATTCTTTCCAGTGCCACTGCTGCCTGCCCTGCCGCTGTCCACCCTGAGGGTAGCCCTGGCCCAGCCTTTCCACTGGGTAGAGGCTGGCACAGCCCCTGACCCTGAACCTGCAGTGATCAGCCCACTCTCACCCTGTGCACAAATCCAGGGTGCACATGCCCCCATGCCTCCCCTGGGGGTACACGCAGAGGTGAGGAGCTGCCCTTCCTTCTCTGTACCCCTCAGACACCCCTCTGTACCCCTCAGATGGAGCCTATGGCTCCATCTTGCTTCCAGGGTTGTATTCACTGTTCTGGCTGGGCAGTGTCTGTGCCTGCCCCTGCCCTGCCTCTGTTCTGCCCCATTCTCTCCCTCACCGTGGGGGCGTTGACCTGCCCCCCCGCTTCTCCTCTCCCTCCCCACCTCTGCCCCCTGACAGACTTACCAGCAGGATGCTGCTCTCCAAGCTGCTTGGCTGCATTCCTGTAAATCAGCTATCGGATCGGGATTGGCCGATATGGCTGGTTAATAATCGGCCATCGGTATCGGCCAAGAAAATCTTTATCAGTGCACCCCAAGAATAATAATAATAATAATAATACTAAATGCCATCAGGGAGTACCCTGTGCCCAGCAAGAAGAGGCTACGGGCAGCCACAATCATCCCCTTTTTCCCTGCCAGCTTGATGCTCAGTCCCAGAGATACAACACCAGCCTCCAGGGCTTCTGGCTTCCTCAGTGCTCAGGCCTCAACAGTCTCGGCCACCCCAAAATTAAAAAAGAAAAAAACCCACCCTATTTTGGGCGCACTGAGTCAGCCTTTCCACACAGACACTCGAACTGGTCTGATTCAAGCATAGGCCTAGAATTTAGGGTTTGGTGTGGCATGCTGCAAAACCCTTTGGGTTTCAGCATGCCGCACCAAGCCCTGCATCTTTCAGCCCCGGAGCCCTGGCACTAGTCAGTTGGGCGCTGGAGCTTGCCATGCTTTGGGGAGAGAAAAAAAAAACAACTTCTTGTGCCAACAAGGACACTGCTTTCCAACAGAGTTACAGTGGGGCATACAGCCTTGAACTCATAACTTTCTATTTAGGATATCATCATTCAAATACTTGATCCACACAGGAAATCCAGCAGTTTTCTCTTCCCACTTTCTGTGTTCAGAGCAGCACCACACACACCTACAGCAGCACATACATAATAACAACAACAATAGTAGCAATAATAATAATAATAATAATAATAAAATTAAATGCTTTGAAGGGAGCACCCTGTGTCCATCAAGAAGAGGCCACAGGAAGCCACAACCATCCCCCTTTTCCCTGCCAGCCTGATCCTCAGTCCCACAGATACAATGCCAGCCTCCAGGGCTACTGCTCAGTGCTTGGGCCTCAATGGTCCCAGCTGCTCGAAAATTAAAAAAGAAAAAAACCCCTATTTTGGTCACACCGAGTCACCCTTCCCACATAGACACTCCAACTGCTCTGATTCAAGCACTCTGGTTCATGACCTACACCATAGTTAATATTACAGTTGAAGTTTGCCCTTGTTATTTAGCAGTGAATTATTAGTCATGGCATGGTTGAGCAAACAACCTATAATTCTTTTTCTTCTAGAATCAAACAAATC